TTTTAATGTTTCCTCACAACGGTAACTTTACTTCCCGGGTCTAGTAAAAACTAACTTAATCTGCACTATCTCGCGGACGACCTAACTAGGAACGTAGCTGTGGTCGATCCCTACTAAGTAATATCATATTGCAGCAGACATAACCATATATGTCTAATGCTATTTAATGAAAATGTGATCGGTTCGATGAATCGAGTTTTAATCTATAAAGAGATAAGCAAGTCGCGTTACTCCGATCCTGTCCAGAAAAAGAGACTCCCCGCTTGCGGGGTCGGTATTTATGGCCTCGGCGCCAGCGGAATAAAATTAACTTCGGTGGGCTGCTACTTCCCTTCTCTAACCCTTCACAAGGGGAAAACATTGCTTGCAAGTTCCGCCATTCGCTTAATACGGCGCAACGATACCAGCTCGCGCGGTTAAAGTTACTCTGCCCTACACTGCTGTTACCTCGCTGCTTCCGTAGTTTCACACATAACTTGTTTGTTATGGTCGGGCACCACTCCCATAACTCACAATAAATATATGGACACCTTCCGACGCGTGCGCTCCTACAACATTATTTTAGGAAGGACATGGTACTTGTTCTAAGGGCCTTTGAACTTTTTCACGCAACACAATTGAAAATCTCATCATTTTTTTAAAAACGAAACAAACCCTTTATTACCAAAATCACAAATTTCGTACCTTCAACTCCTTGGACAAATCCCCGTTGGTACCCTCAAAATCATATCACATAGTGAGCCTCGAATTACACAAATACCCATGAAAGCAATAAACAATTCTACTCTTCCTGAGATGCACCCACAGCACGTGCCAACGTCTATACTCGCACGCACTTCTAGACGGTCCACTCACACTTATCGCCAGGGACACCTAGACACTCCGACACACACACTCAGGTTCACCGCCAGACCTGAGCTATATTATTCAGTCGCATTACTAACACTGATATTACTGTCCACCAGTAAAGTATATAGTCGCCCTTCCGGCCAAAACCACCAGTTTCTAACTTCGATGTACCTTCTCTTATTCTTATACACTGGCAACTTTTCACTGTCTTAACAACAATGCGTCAGTTTTTCCCTATAAGTCGCTTTTACATTCTCTGAAACTCGCATTCCCCTCTTCAAGCTTTCACTATAAATACAACCTCCATGCAATTCACACTTAACCTCCCTACAGCGCTATTCTTGTTATGAAATCGTTCACTTCTTTCTTTACTCGCCGCGCGCAAATACGGCGCTCTCTTCGTTCCTTTACTCGCTTCGCCGTCTCCCCGGTCTCCCCCTTCGCAGCGCGGCGAACCCGTGGCTTTAAATATTTCGTCAGCTACTAGCCCCGATAACCGACGGCAATTCAAATACATGTTGAAGAAAAGCTGGGCGGTTTATATATATATATATAATAATATAATATATAATATATAATTATAATATATATATATATATATAGCTAATTAAGAGCGCCAAACCCCAAAACACCACCACGACGCGAAACCAGGGTAGTCCGCGTACAGTAGTATAATGACACGAAATACAATTATACCAACTGAGAACAGGCTATCTTTACTTTGTTCGGGTCCCACAAACATGGCCGATACTCTCGCTCTATCGAAACAGCGAAAACGTTCTCCCTCGAGACTTGACGTCACGCCATCCCCAAAACTAATCGGAGCATTCGTTCAGAACCATCTTCTTCTAAACGAGACCCACTACAGTCAAGTGGTAAGTAGACAAATAACTTGAAATATAGAATCATCTAGCTACCAAAGATAAAAAAGACCTAGCCCGGGTAGAAGTCGCTAGGCTTAAATTAAGAGCGAATTAATATCCCCTACGTTGCCCCTGAGTTTATTTCTTCATAATACGTCATAGATATATCTGATCATATTACAGAATATTCATCTTCCCGCAGCCATCATTTGAACTGGGCAGTACCCAGTATATATTTGACACAAAAAAGAAGCAAGATAATAGTAAGATTACCATCATAAGATCACTCTATTAACTACGAGAATTACGAACACCATTGTCTTAGAATTTTAATGGCTACGCCACACCAAAAAATTGCGCAATAGACTAAAAGTAAACAGCGCTTATACCGAGCAATCTATCTGCTCGCGTCTACTGTGAAATGACCGAAGAAGAGCAAGGGTATATGGAACGGATCAGTCACAATAAAAATATACCCAATTCCGACGGAAGCCGAAGGCCTGCGCCCCGACAGCTTGTGCATGCCAACTGTTACCCAACACAGCTGGACGAGTTAAGACGGTAGCGACGGCGACCGAAACGGGCAAGTCACGCGACGCAAAACCTGTGCTGATATATTGCGCAACCGCGATCCGAAACGCAAGGAACACATTTTGTAAAGGATTGAGAGCAGGCCACCAGACGATACTTTATGTTATTCTAGAGCAGCACGGAAATGGCTATAGACCTATTCCTAAATGTGCCGTAATCAGCCATAGCTCTTCTTTCAACGAACAATATCTCACTGGCCA